TTCAACGCTCCATTTTCGGTGGTGTAAAGTGGTCTGGTGGAGTTTGTGGTGGTGGTGCGGCATTTATGTTTGACGGGTATGAAAAATACATGGACTTTTTTAGTTTGTAACATCATAAAAATCAGATATCCGGCTATGTGATGTTGTATCCGATTACATGAACCATTATCCGGCTAATACAATTCATGTTACCCAGATTTTTATAGGAACCACTATTTAAAATTTCATTTTGCTCAAATGCATAACTTATATTCTGTTATAAAGACCAACAATTCATGTTGATACTGTAAGGTACCATGTATTACTTTTCATGTCCGGATAATTTGGATATGATAAGTGGTAGATTATAAAACTATTTAAAACGTTAATTTTAAATGAAAAGAAAATATTATCGGTAAACATCAATAAGGCTTAACCACTTACCTAATAATATAAAATTCACATAACCAAGAGATATTTTCATCTCTTCGGACAATTGCATTTGATTATCAACACGTGTTCAACCGATAACCCTAATGTCTACAAGTAAATTCGTTGTAAATGGATACATTGCTACGAACCAGGTAAAATACATTGTAAATTCGTTGTAAACCGGTTATATTGCTACGATCCGGAAATGAGAAACAATTTAAGTAAAAATAGTGGGGTGGTTGTTATATTGTTAATAACTGGTTATGTAGCTTGGAAACTGGCAATGAATATCATGTGTGCAGTTTGATGTTTGAGTATAAGTATAAGTGAATTTATATACAAACTGAGTAAAACCGGTTATATAGCATTGAAAACCCATAATTTGAGACGTTTTAAACCGGATATAGCATTAAAAACCGGCTATGATAATATGTTGTAACACCAATAATATTGAAAACTGGTTAGATGGTTATGCCTTGTAGTACATTCTTTTTTTAATAAATATATGTATTAATTTCAACACTAGAAAAAGATAGTGACAAACGGGAACGCCCACAACAACAGCGTAGAAAGAAAATCTTAGCCCTAGTAGTTAGGGCATCTCCAATAGCACACTATTTTCTTCTCTATAATTTACACTATAATAGAGTTAGTCTATTTTAATGTAAATTATAGAGGAAAATATAGTGTGCCATTGGAGATGGTCTTAACTTGCGAAAAACCCAGTGAGCCTCTGTCGTCCTCTAGCAGAGGTCTAACACCAGCATCCGATGAACCACCAAGGTTTGGTTTCAGCATCAAGGACCACCTCACAACGACTTTAACGCCGCGGGAGGGAGAGGGTTGTGCCGCCGTCTCATCATGAATTTCATTTAGTGAAGCGCTTGATCCGACGAACACGTAAGGAAAGAAGAAGGGGGCAAAAGGAGCATCCTCAGATAACCGACGAGGCGCCGGAGGTTAGAGATCCTCTCCGATCTGAATCTTGAAGGTTGAGGGTAGAGAGAAACACATGTGTAATGACTCGCCTCTCAAAGGTCAATCTGAAATCAATCTCTGTATTCTCTAAACAAAGAAGAAAGAAAATTAAATGAGAAGAAGCCAGAGATTCAAGAGAATGGTTTTAAACCATCAAAATCAAAAATAAGAATGAAAAAAAAAAATTAGAAAAGAGAATACAAAAAAAAGAAGAAGAAAGAGATAGGAACTGAGAGAGAATATGTGATAGAGTGAATGTCTTCTTACAAGTTATCACACCTAACATCTTTGTGACACTCTTCTAACACCCCTAGGTTCAATATTGCTTCTGTTTCTGACACTAATCACATCAAGCACAAGCCAGTGTTGCATAATAAACTTATGTTACAGAGCTCGCGTAGGTAATTAGAAAGCAAAGAAGGGGTAGTTGGGACAATTTATCTCATGGTACTTCAACTTTAATAAGATAGAATACACACTCTTTCTCTTTATAAAGTAACTGAATAAATTTCTAAAACTCTTTCACTTCCCGCCAATTTTTTTTGAATTTGAAGAAGACTTTAGTTTAATTTCTTAATTTTTCTCTTGTTTTTTTTTTAGGTATTATCATCCATGGTTTTCATCCTCCCTCTCTCAAAAATGTAAGAATTAGATTTATAAAATTTAATATATATATATATATGTATATATTATTTTTTATTTATGAAATATAATATTCTATAAAATATTATTTAATATTTAATTATTTCAAATCTTTTTATCATGATTTTTTTTGATAAAATCTATGTAATTTGATTAACTGTATGATATATTCTGATTTAATTATTAATTATAAATTTATTTGATGACAGTTTATTGTATTTTATTTATATAAAATATTTAATTTAACATGAAAGTTTATATAAATTAATTTTATTTTTATTTATGAATATATAAATAATATATATTATTTGGTATTTGTTAAATAATTTTCTTATAATATGTTATTTAATTTAGTTTTTAGTTATCTCAGACTCTTTTTGTTATGAATTTTAATAAAATCGTTGTAATTTTTTGATTAGTTGTATGATATATTTTGATGATTTTTTAACTAAAAATTGTGTCAGTTTATTGCATTTTATTTATATAAAGTATTTAATTTAATATTAAAGTTTATTTAAATTTAATGAATGCAAATTTATTTATGAAAATATAAAAATATAATAAAATATTCCATTAAATTAATTTATTTGATATTGATTGAAATGATTTGTAGGATCTAAACCTACAAAAATAAATTATACTTATTTTCAATTTTTCATAAATTCTTTTTATGTTTTAGCCGATTATAATTTTTCTATTGTTTGACGAAAAAATAATTTTTTTTTTTGAAGTGAACACAAAATTAATTATTAGGAAACTATTATTAGATGTTTTGTAAGTTTTTCATGAAACGGAATCAAAGTAAGATATTTATATGAAGTACAAAAGATGCTTCATGACCAAACCTTTCTAAAGCATAAAACAACAAGAATGTTTTTCAAGTTTTGTTTTTGAGAAGAACGAAATTATGCTAAGAAAAAGAAATAATGACAGACTAAAACCAGTTGTCAGAGTGTTTTTTTATAATACATCTGGTATTGTCTGCCTTTGAAACATTCAATATGTAATGAAAAATTATGCAGAAGTAAAAGAAAATTAGAGGCGAGCATTTAACTTTAAACACTGAATAGGAAACGAATTCGAAGATGAACAAAGTAAAACGTATAGCTGATAGGGAGATATTCGGAACACTGATTTGGTTCCTATGCGGATATTACGAACTCAGTTAATCAATATGCAGGCCTATATAGGAGAGTCGATATCGAAAGAGAGCTTATAAATCATCTTAGAACATCAATAATACAATAAAGCCTTTAAGCAAATAAAAAATGAATAATTTTATAGGCAATAGAATACTAAATAAACTTTGACCCGCATGATCGTGCGAGTTTTATTTTTTTTAAATCTTTTTATGATGTATTTTCAAAAGTTAATTAGTCATATTACATTGAATTATTTTTGGTGGCTGTGAAAAAATTATTTATGTCATATTAACAAACTAAAGATCAGAAAAGTACACCCGCAATGTTTATTTTTACATTATTATAAATACATAGTTATTTGTATATTTGATAATATATATATATATATATTTTAAAATTTATTCGTTTAAATAATTATTTAATATGATATTTTAAATAAAATAATTTGATATTTGATAGAAGTAATTTTATTTTTTCTTGTAAACCATCAATTGTATTATTCATATTTTTATAATATGATCTGTATATTTGTAAAACATATTTTTATATTTTTAGGAATCACAATTTTATGATAATGTATAACAAAATTATTTTATATATTATTTAAAATATATGGTGCTATATATTTTATACTTTTCAACATTTAAACATATATTTTTATATAATCTATATATTATATAAATGTTTTTATGGTTTTTATTTTAGTTATTACTAGTATATAAAAAAAATATTTTTCAAAATTATATGTTGAGTAACTATTTATAGCTAGGTTTATTAATTACGTATTTATTTCCAAACACACATATATAGAAAAAGACAAAGAATACTTAAATGAAGGTTTATTGATTATTGTTTTGATAATTTATAGTTAGAATTTAATTTTGGAAATACATTAATTAAATATAAAAAGACAAAGATCCCTTATAGGTTAATTAATAACTTTAGTGGTATGTCTTTGTAAATAAGTTGGAAAATGAAAGGAAATTTTCTATGGGTACTTCTATTTTAATAAAATAGATGATTATAATCATCAAATAAAACTAAACTTTAAATATAATTGAAAACAAAACATCCAGAAAAAAAACATTTTAGAAAATTAAAAGAGAGATGTCATTATACTAAAAGAATATGGTTGAGTTTAAAAATCATTATTAACTGGATGCATTTTAGCAACTTGTGTAAACAATAATGGTCGTGCATTACAATACTATCACAACGTATGTTTCTTATTCTGTCACGAATAATTGCAGTAAATAATAAAATTAGAAAGTCATTATATGCCAACGAGAGACAGGACATTGCTTAATCCAGCTCAGTTTTCGTATCTACAGTTAAACTCACAATCTCTATTAATAGTCGAATCCCTCTTTCATTCCTCAAATTAATCAGAAACGTTAAGATTATATTCTTCGGTCGTAATATAATAATAACTGTAGCTACCACAAGACGACATGACTCAAGATGAGCCGAAGAAAAACACAACGGAGCCGAAAACCGCCGTTTCAAACTCTTCACCACCATCCTCGGACGAGAAGCCCGACGATTCCAAAGCTCTTGTTCTCTTCGTCACAAGTAAGAAAATCATTTATGTCTTTTTAGATATAAATGATTTTCTTGTTCACCATTAAGATAGCTATATACTCTCTCCTTTCTCAATATAAAAATTTTCTAGAGTACTATTCACGCATATTAAAAATATAATGAAAGATTACAATTAAATTTATTATTTTATTTTTATTTTATAATTTCTAGTAACTATCAACCAATAATATTTAATAACTTCAAATATTCTCATTGCTTCTTACAAGTCTAAAACTTATTAATTACTAAAATTGCTTCAAAAATCTAGAAAATATATCATTATGGAATAGTTTTTTTTTTTAGAAAATTCTTCTTTGAGGAAAGTATTTTATATCAGCTTTTTATTATTTTTAAGTCCCTGTTATCATCCCGAATAAATTTTCGGAAAACACACAGCCCTTATTTTTCTCTAAATTTTGGGAGCAATAATTTTAATATTATTTCATTGTCGTTGCAGAAGAGCCTGTGGAAGAGAAGAAAGAAGGTTCAGTAAATCGAGGTGATTAGAGAATAAGATCATGATTGCTACATAATCAAGAATTAAAAAGAACATTCTTTAAGGGTTTCACCAAAAAAAAAACATTCTTTAAGGAGGAATAGATCAAACTCGGCGAATTTAACTTTGCATATTTCAGTAACAAATATACCACATTGTTTGTTTGTAAACTATTTATTTCTTGCATTTTCTGATTATTTTTTGGGTGTACGTGTGTAATGGTGTGAAGATGATGTTTTGGCTAGACTCGAGAAAGAAAAGAGGATGTCTCTCATCAAAGCTTGGGAAGAGGCTGAGAAATCCAAAGTGGAGAACAAGTGAGATCTTTCTTTTTGTGAATACAATAAGAAATGAAGTTTAAATAGCCTTTTCTTTTTGATCAAAAAAAAAAAGCCTTTTCAAAATTTATGAAAAGAAAGCCTTTTCTAAATTTATGAAACTTTTGTTTTTTTTTTTTTTTTTGCTACGAATGTATGTAAGCTAACATGATAACTTTCTGAGGCAGAGCTCAGAAAAAGCTTTCTTCCGTTGGAGCTTGGGAAAACAGCAAGAAAGCAGCTGTGGAAGCTGAGCTAAAAAAGATCGAGGTAATGGGATTGTTTTTTCTACTTCTAATATATATATATTTTTTATGTATTACATAAAATGATGACATCTCCTAGATTTCTTCTAATTTTGGTCCCTTGGCATCGGAATGATAACAGGAACACCTCATTAAGAAGAAGGCCGAGTACGCAGAGCAAATGAAGAACAAAATAGCTCAAATTCACAAAGAAGCTGAAGAGAAGAGAGCCATGACCGAAGCTAAACGTGGGGAAGAGATTCTCAAAGCCGAGGAAATGGCTGCTAAGTACCGAGCCACAGGAACTGCGCCAACAAAGCTATTTGGATGCTTTTGAGTTACGTGGAGAAATGAATTTTGATGTTGCTTTCATGGTTGTCGTCATTAATTTTCCAAAAAGGAAAGAAAAGGTTTCTTTGTGGTTGAGGTGGTTGGTGCTGGTTTAATTTGGCAACATGGTAAGTTACATACGCTCTTAATGTAACGCCTTGCTATGTTTGGGGTAATGTGTATGCTCATTTGTAATTTGTACAACTTTTTTCTTGAAAGGCTTCTTTTGATTTTGTTAAAAATAAAAATTCTCAGTTATTTTTTTTGTTCCTTATTACCATGTGGCTACTAAGCATAAATATGAAGCGCTAAGGGAATCCGCAACGGTGGATTCATGGTTAGAGTCCTTAGGATTAAAAAATTAATTTTTTTGTTTGTTTGAATAGTTAAGGATTCAAATCAAAAAAGTGTGTGCAATGGTATTCTTTAATTAGGAGTTCTTAGGAATATATAGACATATCAAGAGTGAAACTAAAGTGTTAGAAAAACAGTAGTAGTGTTGATGATAGACAAGAAAATATGAGTTGTAGTACTAAACCTTCAAGAGCTTTTTTGATGTCGAGAAAGATCAACACATTAAACCTTCAAGAGCTTTCTTGATGTCGAGTTGCAGGCTCAAGTTAAGCAATCTCTTCACTTGCAGGCTCTTCAATGGTAAGAGGAGCTGCGACTGAATCTGATTTAGCAGCAATCTCTTTACTTGCAGGCTCTTCTATGTCCTTCTTCTTAGTCCCAAAGAAAAGGTAACCTGCAAATGTAATAAGGGCAAGAACCACCAATAAAGTAAGTCATGAAAATCTCTGTGAAAGTATCTTCCACCATAAAATGCAATGATTGTAACTTCAACGCTCATGTATAAACTAGGTTACACAGATATCAACAACTTATCACACAGCCACAAAAAGATTTCCATGAACGAGTTAAATGAAACTAGTATTTCCATGATCATGAATCAAAAAAGAAAAACAATTCGAGAAACAGTTGGGGACTGAAGCTTAGCCTTTGGTTCATCAATCTGAGGAGAGAAACACTCCAGTGCTTGTTCATCCTCTGGAAACAAGCCATTAAAACATACACTATAAACCCAACAACATAGAGAAAGTGTAAGCAAAGAAAAGGAGAAAACTCACTTAGAAGTTGTGCTTCCCTCTTGTTATGGGCAATTGGGTATAACTTTTTCAGGAGGAAATGAACCTTTTGGCAGACAGTGGGGAAGTGAAGATAAGGGTCTCTACAGATGGGACAATGAGAGACACGCAGACCACTCATGGAGCTATGTACGCACCAGAAATACGATAGATGACCACACACTGCAATTGCAATCCAAAAAGAAGCTATCAAAATATCAAACAGAAAAAGGGATTGTCTTGTGAGTCAATTCAGCTTACATATGACAATTGGTTTGTAAAGAAGTTCCCTGCGCAACACAAAAGTCCATTTTCTAATGATTAGTTTCAGATAAACGTATTTGCACAATCATTCAGTGAATCCAAGTTATTAAGGATAACAAAATCAATTACAGGACTGGACTACGAAATATACAAACCAATGATTCTAAATCCGAAACACTTACAGACAGACGCGGCAGAGAAACTTATCGGATATTTCTTCTTCTTCATGTGGTTCGTCCTCTTTCATGACCGTCATATCCTCCATTGGTAGAGAGATGAGAAAGACGAAGAGAGAGAGAGAGAGAGATCTGAGAAGTTGACGGTGCGATGTCTTTTGCTTTTTGAGAGAATCAATCAAACCTCTCTCTCACGTCTTCGCAGACTCAAGCTTCCCGACGGACGTTCTCCTCCGTGGAGAATTAGTTTTTTTTTTTACAAAACGAAACCCAATCTCTCACCGCCACGTGCTCTAAGGATCAAGTCCTTCCATTCCTTATTTACGGACTGATCCGTAGCAATATTAACCAAACGTCTTTTTTTATTAATATCCCGCACGTATGAAACCTATGTTTGCGAGCCAAGGACTCTTTCGATGCCTTCGTTGCGGCTGCTCTAAGAACACCCGTAGTGGCTTAATTATGTAAGAGTCTCTAAAGATATATATTAATGTAAAAGTTAAAGATAAAAAAGAAAGTACCAAAAGCAAAGAGACGGTTCTCAAAGCGAGACGTCCCTCCTTTCAATTCTACATGTGTTTGTCTAAGCATCCGCGCGGATTTTATTTTTTAGATATATTCTATATAATTTAATTTTATATAGTTTCGAGTTTGTCGAATTTGATTTTTATGTTTAAAAAATAATATTAAAACTGTCTTTTGTATTAATAGCGTAAAGCAGTGTATCATGTAGATGTAACCGTTCAGTGAAAATAATAATTATGTACATCTATACGAAGTGTAAAATCAAATTCAAACTTAAATGTTTGTGTTAAAAAAATAAGTTGAGAGTTTAGTTATTTCTGATGTTAATAATTATCCACAAATTTTAAAATAATATACAAAATTCTAAAAATTTTGGCTTTAACTTTTATTTTTATAGATTAGATCAAATTCAAACTTAACTTTGGTATTAACTTTGCAAGCGCGGAATATATTATGATGAAAAATTCATAATTAACTTAACAAATATTCTGGTGATTTGAGAGAATTTATGTATTTAAAATATTTTGCATTTAAATCAGTATTTTTATTTTCAACCCGAACCACGGTTAAATCGGTGATCCGATAATTCAATTTTCATTTTAAAAATTATCCTTATTTAAAAAATCACTAAAATCCAAGACTAATCGGTTGAACCGATGGATAACTGATATGTAATATTCAAATCTTTAAAAATAAGTGTATTTTCGTTGTTTTATATATTATTTGAATTTTTTAATTTATCTAAATAATTTGAAAGAAAATTGTGAGAAATTATTAGAAAGGGTGAGATCTAATATTTCGTATTGTTTGGACATACAATTAATCATAGTTTTGTTTGGAAACATGGATAATATTATAAAGAAATGATTATATTGTTTGGAAACATATATAATAGTATAAAGAAATAAATATAAATATTGTTTGGAAACATAGATAGCCGTATATAGAAAAAAATATTAGTGATTTAATGTAGGTTTTAAACTATAAAGTAGCAAGATGTATTTAATTTAAAAACTTACAAAATAAATGTTAGGTCCAACCTAATGTTTCTGATTTAATAAGATAAATTATAAATTTGTTTTATGTTAAATATTAATAAACTAATGTTGAGAGACTTAATTTAAGAAACCTATCACTAAGGGCAACATTATTGCTAGAGATGGAGAAAGACTCCTTAGCTTATTTTATTAATTTGTTAATGTGAAAAAACAAATGTAAGAGACAATCAGTAACTAGTAGATTATTGCTAGGACTTTTGAGATGTTTCTTAGTAAATTATTTTTTAGTTTTAATAAATTATGACATGTAAATGATAAATTTATAAAAAAACATATAATATTAAAATTGAAACATAATAAGAAAAACACGTCCCACCATTTCCAGATATGGCATTCACCATCATCAACATTGGCGCAAGTGTAATATCTTCTACATGGGTCTCTTCTGGTGTAGGATGTTGCGATAAAAGGGCGAGCACCACAGTAGCACGTCTGAGGAAACCCAAACTCTACCTTCGGCTGAGGTGGGTACTGAACCCGGACCGCATGATCTTGACGTATGAGGTCTTCATTGTATCCCAGATCTTGACGTATGAGGTCTTCAGTTTCGCTGTATCCAGTGTCTCCAGAGTTCCCACCGTACTCTACCGACTCTGAAGGCTGTGAGTAGCAATAATCAAGACCCATATCTACTTAACCTGCAAAATAAATAGAAAAACAAAAGCATAAGTCAATGTGCTTATATTTACAAGAATAAAACAGAGAAAGTGTTGTTATTCTTAAAACTAAACAAGTTTGCAGAGCATAAATAAACTAGAACATAAATAAACAGAACATAAATAAACAGATTTAACATTCATAGAAGAGCCGCATTATAGAGTTAGTTTGTGATCATCACAAACTAGAACCTAAAGAAACTAGAACTTAGAACATGAATAAACTAGAACATAAAAGAACAACAACATAAATAAACCAGAACATAAATAAACTAGAAGTTAGAACATCAATAGCTATAACATAAAGAACTAGAACTTAGAACATAAACTAGAACATCTCAGAAACACTGGGCAATGATTTTATTCTTCATGTCTTCCTCAGCCTCGTTTAGTGGTTCCTTTTTAGCGAGGAGAGTGTCAAGAATAGCCAACTTTGACAGTTCCACCTTCATCTCCAACTCCTCTCTCTTAATTTCCCAAATGCTCTTATACTCATCAAGAGCCTTCCCTTTGGAATTACCCCTTCTTGCTTTCGCAGCCTTAGAACCTTCAGGCCAGACGTCTTCATCGCCAACATTGGTGACTGAAGCTTGGGAAGCTGTCTCACCGGTTTTCCTCTTTGAACTGTCACTTGCTTTAGTGATGTTGAGGTTAAGCCATTTTTGCTCATACCTCAACACACACCACACATGTTTAAGCGTGAATTTGAAATTCTGATCCGCATAGAAGAGCTCGTGAGCCACCTTGAGGACATCATTATCACTGTGACCACTGCCGTTATGTCTCTCTGCCGCAGCAAATGCGCCACATAACTTATTGGTTTGGTCATTGATCTTGTGCCATCTCTGCTTAAGGCTGAATTGCTCCATTTTCTCACCACTAGCCTTAGCGTGAGGGCTTGATGCGTAGTACTGCGTTACTCTGTTCCATAAGGTCCCTGCGTTTTGATCATTCCCGACAACGGCGTCCTTCGAGGTGTTGAGCCAGGCACTTATTAGGACCTCGTCATCAGCTGGCGTCCATTTCTTCCTCCCCTTACGCACCACTTGTGAGACTACAGGTGGACTTGGAGCGTGAGCTTCCTGAGTACTGAATAGAGGGTTTTCGTAGGCTCTAAGGTTAATACAAGAATGGAAACTTTCAAAAGGAAAGTTTCCATGGTTAACGCTTTGTTGTTGGCTGTTTAGAAGGCCAACATAGCCAGGGGACTGACTATATGGGGTCCTTGGATCCATATCAAAAAACAGAGAATGGATTAAAGCAGAAAATGTTCTTGTTTACGGGTTTTAGCAAAGAGGAGGGGTGATGTTCAGGTTCAAGAATGGTTGGGATTTAATATAGGTGATGAAGTTAGGTGTAATAAGTTCCACTCTTTGTGGGAACCGAAATTCACCCTTGTCGGTTTCCGTTAAATAAGGAAACTTAGGAAAACCCTAATTTTCCAGAGGAACCGGATCTCTGCGAAAGACAACAACAAGTAACCAAATAAATGCGGAAAAATATGAAAAACGTAATAAAATGAATTTATAGAGAAAGTCGATCTTATTTCCGATTTGCGTAATAGCGTTGCAATCATTACAAGGAATTACAAAGGCTTTGGCCGAAGGGGACCATCAGCGAGTTACAAACATAAATCCCTAAATCTAGTCGAGTCGCAGCTCGATAACAAAAGACGGAAAAAGATAAGAAAATTTTTTTGATTGATTTCGGACTGAACCTTATGAAAGGCTGTCTACGTACCCCTTTCGAGGATCAAGTCGAACGTAGTTCAGTTGATAGAGCTGGACAAGAGATCGAACTGCCTGGGCGAGTTCGTCTAGTAATTGAGCGCCAGGCATAGAAACCAAACTTGTCGAGAATAAAGTCTAGGTTTCTAAGTTCGGAAAATTCTAAGTCTATAAAAGTTGTAAGAGTCTCAGATGAGAGCTCTGAAATTCGTCCCCAGCTTATGTCTTATGCCTCTTGCTTATATACTCCCTTCCTTGGCGGTTTGGTCCTTCCATTTCGCACATATTCGACTTTATCGGGAATCTTCCATTTATCTTTATCTTTCCTTTTTCCCGCGGAAATCTTCTGTTTATCCTCAAACTTGACACTTATCTTCAAATTTGACATTTATCTTCTTTCTGCGAGTAAATCGTCAAAACGTCGTCGCATCTTCGGGTTAGACTTCGTTAAAGTCGCGAGATAGGCTATTATCGCGTTTTTAGGGACTTTCGAGCCGCTTTGCGACAAAACCGTTTTACGAATTTTAGACGAGGTCGTTTCCTGATGCGATGCCGTTTTTAAATAAGTTTCTCGAGTTAATCGTAAATTTTGGCAATGTTTGATGTTTCGGTTAATCGGTGCCGTTTTCTACGATTTACTCGAGGTTTTATTAAAAACGCATTTTTTACGATTTCTTACAAAAAATCTCGAGTAAATCGTATAGTTAGGCAATGTTCGGTGTTTCGTTTAACCGTTGCCGTTTTATACGATTTCCTCGAGTTCTTTTAAGAAAACAAGACTTTTACGTTTTTTATCGTAGAACTCAAACGACAGGACGGATCGGGACGAAACGAGAGATATTTTGACCGTGGTTCGGAGCACGATCGTTCCGAAGGACGTATGCCTTGAATCGAGGACGAGGGAGATCAAGGTTTGGGATGGTCGGCTCGACGTACGACGAGCCGAACCAGACCGGTCCAGCTCGCCGTATGGCGAGCTACCCGGGAAGCTTTTAGCTCGCCGAACGGCGAGGTAAGCCAGCTGGCTCAGCTCGCCGTTCGGCGAGCTAGTGGTGGCGCGACTAGCTCACTGTCGTGATGGGATTAGCTCGCGTTTTACGGCGGTTTCAGTTTTTTGCGGTTT